TCCAACTTGGTGTTTCATGTCCGATCGACAAAAGGTAATATTTTTGTACTTAATTAAACAATGCAACTTATATTGTTGGCGATAATACAATTGTATGTTGATTTGCTAACAGGGTCTCATACAAGCGTTAGATTCGGAATTACCTCAAGTCGAGCATAGATTTTGTGTACGCCATATGTACACGAACTTTAGAAAGGACATTGGAAAAGACTTAATCATGAAGTCGATGTTGTGGAAGGCAGCAAAGTCAACATATGAACAAGAGTTTGGAAGATGGATGACTTCCCTCTTAGAGCAAAGTGAAAAAGCTTATGCTTGGTTGTTCAAGAGGTCGTTCTATCAGTGAGCAAACAAGAGTTAATTCCGAATCTAACAAGAGTTACTTCAACGTGCACTGTAAGACAGACTTGCTCCTGAATAATCTTTGTGAGTCTTTCAATCATTCTATCCTTCCTGCTAGAGATCAACCTATCATCTCAATGTGGGAGACAATTAGATGTAACCTAGTGAGAAGAATGTTGTCAAAACAACTTGCTGCTCAAAAGTGGAATGGTATGATATGTCCTAAGATTTTCAAGGAAGTTGGATAAGGTAAAAGATGGAGCAGTACATTGCATAGCTTAGAATGTTGCAGAGGGTAAATTTGAAGTGAAGTTTCCTACTGCTCAATTTGTTGTTAAGTTAAAGAATAGAACATGTGCATATAGAAAATGGGACCTTTGTGGTGTACCTTGTATGCATGCGATAAGTGCTATTTGGCTTCTCAACAAAAATCCTGAGGACTATGTTGATGACTACTATACGGTGCAAACACATAAACAAATATATGGGAAGTTGTTTGAGAAAATTAATGGAGAAGAACTATGGCCTACAACTAGGATATATCCACTTGAAGCCCCTCCCATACCAGATGCAATGAAGATGAAACCTGGAAGAAGAGCAAAATTAAGAAGAAAAGAGCCGAAAGAAATTGACAATCAAGCAAAACGAGTAAATGACAGAGTAAGTAAGAAGGTTGTGAAAATGCACTGTTCTGTATGTAGAGATCCCACACATAGAAAGAATTTTCATGCTTCTGGTAATGTCGAAAAGAATTCTTCAACTCAAAATGCCGTTGATGAAAGAAATGCTACAACTCCTCAACCAAGTACATTTCTCCCCAAAACTGGACTATCGAAGCTTAAGGTTAGTTCACTATTACTCTCTTTCTAGCTAATGCATTTTCAAACTCAGTAACTTGGATTTGTGTTACTTTTTCATTTGACAGAGTAGGTGTCTGTTTCTGGGTTGACATAATCGTCGTGTTTCTGTCTATCGTTCTTGTTATTTGCGTTCTTCTTTTGAATTACGTTTGATAGGTAAAATCAATAAATAAAATATGCTAGAAATCAATGGTACTGATTTTAGGATGAGAACTGACCAGTAGTTTGAGAACCTCGTTAAAATCTCTGTGTCTATTGTTCTATTTATTTGTTCATTGCTCTGTTTTTGCTCCGCTAGGTTACTGGACCAAGAAGAGAACTGGGATTAAGCTGTATAAGCTATTCCTAAGTTTATTCATTGGCTAAATTACACGTTTGGTCACTCAAATTATACAAATCTTTCACATTTACCACCCTAATTACTTTTCTTTCTTATTCGCCACTAACTTTACGAATCGTTTCACCGTTAGTCACCGGCCGTTAGACTCCGTTAACTTTGTCCTATGTGGCAGTCAACTATAAAGTTTGACCGTTAACTAGATGATGTGGAAATTAAAAAAATAAATATAATTTTCCACCTCATCATTTCAAATTTATCATATTAATTATTTAATAAAAATTAATAAATGGAAAAATTAATATGATAATTAATTAATTTTTTATCATATTTTTGACGGACGACCGAGCGTCTGAGCCATGTTCTTCCTGAACGATCGCACTGGCGGCCACCGCACCACCTGTGCCCTACTTTTTGTGTAAATACGTAAAAATAAATACTCAAACAACCACTAAGCTAGCCCAAATATAAGGTGGTTAGCCTAATGATATAGTACATGTCATAATAAACTGGGTTCCATTGATTTCTGACAATAATTAATATCTGACAAAAGCTAACAAACTAACATCAGAGTCTAACACCGAAACGAAAAGGATACTTATGAACTCAGAATATATAATCTCTATGAGCCAAAAAAGTTTATCATAAGCTTGCTGTCTGTAAATGAGACAGTATTTCCACTTACTTGGCAGGAGGCTTGGCGGGATCTGGATCAGCAGTGACGGCCGGGTGAGGTTGTTGAGGGCTGTTGGAGTTATTCCAAATCGGCAATAAAATAGAAATAACATTGGTAAACTGAAGAATGACGTCGTCTCTGCGCAGGAGCTTGCCCAGCAAGTGAGGGCGTCAATTTGGAAGAACTCCCAAGGCAAGATGGTGACTGCTGATCCAGGCCATCGTGACATTATTTAGAAGCCATCAACTGCCCGACCGCTGGTGTTTTGATATCTCCGTCGGCGAAGCAATCAAGCAGGAGAGGTCGAGTTCATTCGTCAACAGGGGTTAGTTTGAGGAAGGTGAAGACCCTTTGCACAAACCCAAACAGTAATCACGACATGGAGAAAGCTCAGGAGCACATGGTGGAGTTGTCGTCGTGGCCGGCGGCGGGGGAGGTTGAGGAGGAAGAGGAGTAGCAGAGTGTGATGGTGGTGGTGAGGGTCATGATAAATAAATCAAAATGAATTATTTATCATATTATTATTTGTTATTTATAAAATTTTATTAAATAATTAATATGGTAAATTTGAAATGATGAGGTGGAAAAATAAATTATTTTTTTATTTTTTTAAATTTCCACGTCATCTAGTTAACGGTCAAACTTCATAGTTGACTGTCACGTAGGACAAAGTTAACCGAGTCTGACGGCCGGTGACTAACAGTGAAACGATTCGTAAAGTTAGTGGCGAATAAGAAAGAAAAGTAATTAGGATGGTAAATGTGAAAGATTTGTATAATTTGAGTGACCAAATGTGTAATTTAGCCTTTATTCATTTCATCGTCGAAAGCCCCAAATCCAATGAACTACAAGTTAGATGGTGTGTGGGCTTTAGCAAATTTTAAATTGTTTTGGTCCCAATTTTCTCATTTTAATAAGAAGTGGGCTTTGCACAACTCAAGCCCACTCTCCCTTTCAACTCCTCCGAGCAAGTGAAGGAAGCTATCTTCATCACTTTGTCTTCATCCTTTCTTGCCTATTCCACCTTCTCTTTCGTTTCTGTAAATTGAGTCTACCCTAAATCCAGCCTCAATCAAATCTTCATCTTTAAATCCACCACAATCACGATCTCCTTCTCCCTACTTCACTCTCACCAAACATTCGTCGGAAACTCAAAATCATCGCTAGAAAACTCCCTATCTCCAACCATCAACAGAAGACAATCGAAGAGTTTGCCTTATATGATTCTTCTTCTCCTTTACACCGAACCATGTAAGATGAAGAGTTCGAGATTTTTACCCCACTTTGCTTCGTCAACGGTGAAGCTTCAACGATCGTTATTGTTGCCTGAGACTTTTTGTTTAATTCTATTTTTTATTTTTTAAATTCCATCTTGCAGCTCCTGCGGTTTATGATCACTATGCATTGATGACGCCATCAAGAACGTTTTTAAATTCGAGTCCACTAGACAACGAATTATTATGGTGGAATGTGAACAACGAGCCGATTTGATTTGGTCGAATGAGGTAGGTACTTTAATTTATCAATTACAAGTTAGATAATTTAGTTTGCATTAGTATGAATTAGTAGTATACAGTTTGATTAGCGACTACTCGGAATAGAGTGAATGATTGATTTAGAACCCTTCTTGAGTTAAGTATGAATTAGCTACTTTTTTCATATTAAATTTGTAATTGATTTTATGCTCTTAATTATATTTAAGTTTATAATTATATATGATAATTAAGTTATATATAAAGTAATTGGTTAGTTACTTATTTATTAATTAGTTACATGATGATGCATATACTTTGGTTCATCCATATAAGACTCGAGGTACATCTATATTAGGCAAGTATTATGAGGAGTATTAGCCATACCTTTGGGGTTCTGGTTTGTATATTGTTCATGTGGTTGCCCCACTACACGATGATTCTAACTTAATCATGATAGTAGTGGAGTACTAGCGGGCAGAGACCTCGACTTTTCATCTTTTCCAGTGACGAGTGTACTATTACTTTGGAGTATGTTGTAGTTTTTACAGGACTATCAGTCTACAAACATGTGATATTATATATACCAAAATTATCATGGGATGATTTATGCAAGACCAACTTGGAAGCTTCCTCCTACTGAGCATCAATTAGATCTTAAGAATGGACAGTTACTAAAATACGCTACCGATAAGTTACATATAAAATACGTACGAGCATTTTATTTCGTCTCTAAACTAATGGTACGTTTCATAGTATGTCAATAGTGATAAAATATATTATTTAAAAAAATTAATTAATATATAAATAATAGTTAAGTTAGCAATTCAATTCATTAAAAATAAATTTTATACGTATTTAGTACGAGAGTCATCAAATAAATATGAAAAAGTGAAACGACTTGACAATAATATGGATACATTAGTTTTAAACGGATAAAACATGATCGCCATATATATATACGTGTATTAAACAAATTATTTACTAAATAAATACTCTTGATTTAGAGATTAATTCTCCATCTTTCCACAGGGAGTTTCCGATCAGACGATGAGTATATACATGATCACATACATACATTGTGTTACGTTACGTTTAGATGAAGTGATGTTTCTTGATCGATATGGAATTGAGATGCATCTCATGTGACCTACTTCTCCATGATTGGGCAAGTGCAGGAAAGTACACATGGAGTACAACTGTGGGTTAGCATACTTGATGATAAGACCTTTGTGGACTGTGATCAATGATCAATCAACCCAAATCAAAAACTCCATGGCTCACATCTAATGGGCGGTGAAGATGACAAAAACATGCGGCCATGCAATTATCTAGTCCCAATCACCTTCAGCCACCAACTGGAAATATCCAGACCACTCTCCAATACCATTAACCGAAAATTTCCCCATATTTCTACCCAAAAAAAAGTCCCCTATAATGGTCATAGCCACCTCTTCTTTCAATTTCACTTGCATTGCATTGCATCCCAGCTTCCCTTCTACCAAACTCCTCTACACTCTACAGCTAACCTCACTTGGTTGAGAATGGAGGAAGCCAACGGCGATTTGCAGCAGGGGAAACTAGTCGTCGGAGCTTTCGTTACGATCGTTGCAGTGTCGATCGTTGCCTTCTGGTTGATGAAGAAAGGCAACAAGACACGACAAGCAGCCCCATTGCCACCCGGCCCACGCGGATTACCAGTAATCGGGTACTTGCCATTTCTAGGCATCCATCTCCACAAGAGCTTCACACAGCTGGCCCGAGATTACGGCCCAATCTACAAGCTTTGGCTCGGACACAAACTCTACGTCGTGATTAGCTCACCGTCGCTGGTCAAACAAGTCCGCGACCACGATGTAACTTTCTCAGATCGATACCCCTCCACTGCTTCCAAAATCCTTTCCTTCGGCCGGAATGACATTGCTTTCTGCCCCTACGGCGCCGAGTGGAGAAAGCTGCGGAAGGTCTTCGTCCGAGAGCTAATGAGCAGCGCCAGGCTCAATGCTTCCTACGTGCTGAGAAAGCGGCATGTTGAGAAGGCTATTAAGGATGTGTACCAGAAGAAGACGGGCAAGGCTCTGGACTTTGGGCAGTTTGCGTTTATGCTCATATCGAACACTGTTCTTAGCATGCTCTGGGGTAGCACGGCACATGGAGAGCAAGGGGAGATGTTGTCCTCGCAGATCCGAGGAGTAGCAGAGGAATCCATGGTGCTGCAAGGGGCGCCCAACATCTCCGACCTGATCCCATCACTCGCCCGGTTTGACCTGCAGCGGGTGGAGAGGAAAACCCACGAGACATTTCGGAGGTTGGATCAAATTGTGAGCTCCATAATCGAGGAGCGGCGGAAGCTAGGGGAAGGCAACAGAGTCGGCGAAGAGGCAAAAGACCTCTTGCAAGTTCTACTAGACCTCAACAACCATGGAGATTATGCTGCAGAGTCATCAATTACAGACAACCAAATCAAAGGCATTCTCGTGGTTAAGTGCACCTGAACTTTGCTAGATTTTCTATTCAAATTGAAGGAGGTACAGAAAGGATGACTAAGCATTACCAATGAACAATCTGTCTTTGGAACAGGATTCTATGATCGGCGGAACGGACACAACATCGACCACAATAGAGTGGACGATGGCAGAGCTGATGCTACATCCAGACGCAATGCAGAAAGTCCACAAAGAGCTTGACGAAGTAATAGGAAGAAGCAATGCCGTGGAGGAGTTCCATCTCCCCAGATTACACTACCTAGAAGCCGCTATCAAGGAGGCATTCCGACTGCATCCAGCCCTGCCTCTGCTGGTGCCACGATGCCCTACCGAGGACTGCCAAATAGGTAGATACACCATTCCTAAGGGAGCCACCGTGTTCATCAACGCTTATGCAATGCACAGGGATCCACAGCTCTGGGACAGTCCTCTGGAGTTCAGACCAGAGAGGTTCCTAGACGAGAACGCGGCCAAGTTCGATTACTTGGGGAACAGTTCTCAGTATTTCCCATTTGGGACTGGGAGAAGGGTCTGCCCAGGGATTCCCATGGCCGAGAAGATGCTCAATTACATTCTAGCATCACTGCTCCACTCATTCGAATGGAAGCTAGCTCATGGGTCGACAGAGGTGGATTTGACTGATAAATTCGGAATCGTCGTCAAGTTAGAGAAGCCGTTAGTTCTCATCCCTACACCAAGGCTAGCCAATCCAGAGCTATACTACAGCTACAGCTAGAACCCTAATGAAAACAATTTCTGATGTTCTGTGGTTCTGTTTGTAATATCATTACTGCATATTTATTTACAATCTGTGTGCCTGCAATGGCTTCTCCAGAGTAAATGCAAGTTCTGTTAGTGAAATAACTAATTGATTCCAATTAATTCAACAAAATGAAAGAGAGACAGAGCTCTGGATCCATTCCATCAATGGAGTTTCCATTCAAGGCATCCAGATTCGCTGAGAGAAACCCAATGGCTATTATGTATTGCATCAGTGAGATATTCACAATAGCATGTACTTACCCTATCGAATTTATTATTATTTGGTGTTATCGAATACTAAGCGAATATGAAGCACATGAATACAAGTTATGCCTTGAAATGAAAGACAATTCCGAATCAGTTTTGTCTACGAACAAGGTCATTTTCGAGTGTTATTCGGTATTTGGGATTACAAGATCAGGATCGATATATACCAAAATATAGCACACAACCGATGGTCATTACTCACTCTTTGACAACTCACAAGTCCCCATCCAACCAAATTTTGGTTTTCTAATTTAAGTCATTTGTCTCTCACTCAGTCTCTTGTTATTTTCGTAACACCAAAAAACATACACTCTTATTAGTCATCTCTCGTCCTCCAATCCGTAGAATTAAAGATTACAAATTACAAGAAATTGAAATGTCACAATCTCCTCGATTCTCCTTATCCATGTACTAGCTCTAGACGAACTCAAAACTTTTTGATTAGAGTCTTTGCCCAAAAATTAGATTACATACAATAAATTTCTTTAATTACTAATTGCAAATACCGATTGGGATACCCATAATAGCGATTGAGATAAATATTTAGAAATTGGAATTGAGATACCAAATTTATCTAAGGATTATGATGACATTGATTTTAAGGTGTAATTCGATATTCAGAATTTCGATATTTGATATCGAGATACCGGTACGTACTGATTCCACCCTTAGGTTTGGATTGGTGGTCAAATGTCCGTACAATTGTGTTAGCTCCAATGGTCAACCTATATTTATTTCGTGTTTGACCCTCGGTCAACCTTCTTTAGATTTTTATTTGGCTTGTGGTCAACTAATTGGTACAGTATGTTTGTTCGGCGGTCAACCTCGTTTGAACCTGTATTTGACCTGCAAAACGCAATCCGAAACTGTAGGGTTAATTGCAGCGCATACCTTATAAGAGTTGCTTATGTTGCGCACAGACCACTTAAAGTTTTTTAGTTGCAACTAAACCATATAAGTTGGTTATTAGTTGTATCATTACATTTTTTATCATAAAACTTAATGGTAGGTATCAAATTGTACATTTCCGCACCATGAGAGCATTTCAGCTCAGCATATGATGGGCCACAAAAATCCATGTGTCTCCTATGTAATAATTGACTAATTTCCTCTACTCGTTGCACCTTGTACCACATTCATCGTTGTTCATCCACAACTCGTAGTTTAACATCAGATCTGGATGCACCATCGACTCCATCCAATCCATATCTATGACCACTTCTTCTTTGTCGTCTTTCAATGCCTGGTATGTCATAAACCAGTTGGTCCCAATAACTCGAGTTGTTGGGAGAAGGTTATGCTGGATCTTATACAGGCCCGTGTATGGTACTTAACCACTTCCTTACACGCCCCCTCAAACGAAAACCGACTCATGGGCTTGAAGTTTGCACAGGCCCGCCATACCATGTGCTTGAAAGACAACGATTAATATTGGGGGTCGTGAGGACTTGAACACGTGACCTCAAGGACAACCAGCTCTGATACCATGTCATAAACCAGTTGGTCCCAATAACTCGAGTTGTTGGGAGAAGGTTATGCTGGATCTTATACAGGCCCGTGTATGGTACTTAACCACTTCCTTACATGGTAAATTGCTTCATTGTAGTCGAACGACTTGCGGAGCATCCCTGTCGGATATTCTCGTTTTCAATCCAGACACCGGCCATCCTAGTGACTAGGGCTGGAAGTTTGGTACCAGTATTTGGGATATACCGAATACTGTACCGAATTTGTCTATATTTGGTATTACCGAATACACGTATTATTTCTTGGGATTGAGATTAGGATTCGATTTCATTGTTATTCGATATTAGGGATTACAGGATTGGGATCGGTATTTATCGAAATACCGAACAATACCGAAATATAAGATAATGTGTATTTTTATGGTCTCAGCTAAACTCTCTCATTCACTACTACACGACCCTCAACCACCAATATATTGTTATTTTCATAATACCAAAAAACAAACACTAGTATTAGTCTTCTCACAACCTCCAATTCATCAAATTAAAGATTGCCAATGACAAAAACTTGACATGTCACCTCTCCTCCATTCTCCTTATCCATATCGTAGCTCTAGCAAAACTCAAGACTCTTTGCTTAGTCTCTTTGTCAAATATTAAACAATCAAATCTAATTTATATATTTAATTATTAATTGCAAAGGTAATTAATTTCTTATTCGATAATACCGATTGGGATACCGAATTACCGATTGGGATACCGAAATATTTAGGGATTGGGATTGAGATACCAAAATTATTTAGGGATTGCGATTTAATTTAGGATGTAATTCGGTATTCGAGATTTCAGTATTTGGTATTGGGATACCAATACCGTACCGATTTCCAACCCTACTAGTGACCTTCAGCCTTCATAAACACAGAGCGAAAAATGAAACAAGAAAGGAAGTCTAATTTACAGTAAACAATTGAGTAAAGAAACTCGGAGCATGAAGAGAGGAACGAGAAGCTTGGAGATATGCAAAACAAGGGGTTAGGAAGATAGAAACCACAAACTTGAATAATTCCCTAATTCTCATATCCAACATGCAATACAAACAAAACCCAGAACTGAACGCTCATGAATAGAGCATTCAGGAGATCAGATTAAAAAAGATAGACTATAAGATAAGAACCGAATTAATCGCCCAATTCTGCGTACCTCGCTTGAATAATCACGAAAACACCCTATAATATCATATCATAGTCAAGCAAAAGAATGATACCCAAAAGTTGATTTTTGCCAAGAACAAAGGAAGGGTAAAACGGAGGAAGAGGACTTACGGAGCATTCCTTCACTTGGGAATTGGGAGGTGTACCTTAAGCATTTGACATTGGTGATCCCGTGTTTGCATAAAAAAGAAGCGGCGTGGCGCTTCATTTCGCCCAGATTGGCGCCGATCGGCCACATCTTGGAGAAGACGTTGTTGAGGTCTAGTAGAATTTGCAAAAGGTCTTTCGCCTATTTGCTAACGTTGTTGTCGTCGCCACTTTCCCTTAGTTTCCCCTCTCCTCAGTTTTGAGAGACCTGATGCTGGAGCAGTTTTGAGATATCTCAGAACCCTTAGAACAGCCTTGTAGTGGATTGTAGATGGAGAAGTCATGAACTGGCTTAGCTGCTGTGTAGCAAAGCTAATGTCTGGGCGAGTGGTTGTGAAGTAGATTAGTTTTCCCACTAATGTTCTGTATTGTTCCTCGTATGGATTGCCCACATCATTGCTGAGATGTAACTTGTAGTCCATTGGTGTAGTAACAGCCTTCGAATCAATGATATTGGCTTCTTCCAGAATTTCCAATGTGTACTTTTTTTGTGAGAGATGAATCCCAGAATTGTTCCTTGTAACTTCAATACCTAAAAAATATCTCAAATTGCCAAGATCTTTGATGATGAATTCTCTGTGTAACAGCTCTTTTAATGCTTGAATTTCTGATAAATCATTGCCCCCTAAAACAAGATCATCCACATAGATGAGAATGCAGGTGTAGGTAGATGATGTGCATTGAAGAATAGTGAATGATCTGCTTTGCTTTGTTTGTAGCCAATTTGATGAAGCTTGTCTGTAAGTTTGGAGAACCATTGTCCGGAAGCCTGTTTGAGACCATAAAGTGATTTTTTGAGTCGACAAACAGGATTTTATATGCCTGGAGGAGGAGTAAAACCTTGAGGGGGAGTCATGTAGACCTCTTCCTGTAATTCACCATTAAGAAATGCCATTATCCACATCTAGTTGGTGGATATGCCAGTTCCTCAGGGCTGCAATAGCAAGAAAAGTCCTGACAGTGGTCATTTTGATGACTGGAGCAAACGTGTCTTGCAAGTCAATACCTTCTTGTTGTGTGTTGCCTTTTGCAACCAATCTTGCTTTGTATCTTTCTAGGGAATCTTCGGAAAGGAACTTGTCCTTGTAAATCCATTTGTTGCCAATTGGTTTTGTTATAAACGCGCTGCTACGGATCGGGAAATCGCTGGAATCGACAAATCAAGAATACGAAAGCGAGAATCGAAAACACGACACACGATTTACGTGGTTCACTAACACGATGTGTGTTAGCTACGTCCACGGGCGAGAGAGAGCCGATTTCACTATATCAAGGAGATTACAAATTACAGAGGAGTATGAGAAGTATTTATAGCACTTCTCCATGTGGGTCTAAACCTAATCCAATCTGACAAAGGAAACGGTTACAGACCAGGCCCAGAACCCGATTACCAGTCGTAGCAGCTGATAGTCCGATTCAAGTCATATCAACAAATCTCCACCTTGACTTGAATCCTCTTCCTCTGAAATCTCTGATGTACTCTGCTCCTTCTCTCTCTCCCGCCATCAATGCCCCCGTAGGGCGGAGTCACCCACTCAAGACATTCAGCAAGTCCAAGCAGTGTTGGAACTTGCCATGTGGAACCGGCTTCGTGAACATATCAGCAGGATTATCCGCGGTGCCAACCTTCTTCACCTTAATCCTCTTCTCTGTCCTCAAGAAATGATACCTCACATCGATGTGCTTAGTCCTTTCATGGTGGACTTGATCCTTGGCCAAGCATATTGCACTCAAACTGTCGCAATACACCACTGCCTGATCATGATGTAGACCCAGATCACCAACCAGTCCCTTCAACCATATTCCCTCCTTAGTAGCTTCTGTCAACGCCATATACTCTGCCTCAGTAGTAGACAATGTCACCGCCGACTGCAAAGTTGCCTTCCAGCTCACTAAAGAACTCCCAAGAGTGAATACATAACCGGTCATCGATCTCTTCGTGTCAACATCTCTAGCATAGTCCGAGTCAGAATACCCAGACACCAAGCACTCTGTATCACTTCCGAAGCTAATCCCCACATCAGGTGTACCCTTAAGGTACCGGAAGATCCTCTTCACAGCCTGCCAATGCTCCTTCCCAGGTTGTATCATAAACCTGCTGACAACACTAACAACATGTGCAAGATCAGGTCTAGTGCATACCATAGCGTACATCAAGCTACCTACTGCACTAGCATATGGGACTCTCGACATGTACTCCTTCTCAGCCTCTGACTGCGGTGCATAAGCTGAGGATAGATGAACATTTGAAGCACTAGGAGTATTTAAG